GCAGGGCTGGGATAGCAGGGGGCTGCAGGTTGGGACAGGGGCATTGGCAGGGCTGGGATACCAGGGGGTGGTGGGTCAGGACTGACGAGTATCAGTGGGGGTTGGGGCTGCAGTAATGGCCGCCTCTGTCTCTGCTCGTAGGTTCCCCCCTATGTTTTCTTCTTCATGTGCTGTGCCTCCTACCGCATCCACTCCATCTACATCCTGCGACTCTTTAACGACCCCGTCGCCATGGCCATCCTCTTCCTCGCGGTCAACCTCTTCCTGGAAGAGCGCTGGTCCTGGGGCTGCTTCTTCTTCAGGTGGGTCCCCCCTGCTCCCCCAAACCACAAGGCGTGAGCCTCTGGACCCCTTCCTTTGGCTGGGGCGTGTCGGATTCTCGTGGGTTGTTCTGGGTCAGGACTGACCCCTCCCTGCTCCAGGACACAAGGCCTCTGGAGCTGAGGAGCGCAGCAAGTCCACACTGGGGGCGGTCACTGCTCCCATGAGCTCCCGGTCGTGGATAGAGCTTGGGGAAGGGGAACGAGCACAGGTAACTTCTGCTCAGATCAGCAAGATTGACTCCAGCAGCCTGACAGAGGTGGGGCTCTAAGGGTCCATCTACCCTGCAGCTAGATACCCGCGACTGGCCCGAGTCAGCTGGCAGCGTGGATGTGCCCTCAGGAGGAGTGAGACATGGGTAGGGCAGGGTCCCTTAAGTCACTGCGCACAGGAATCCGCATTGGGAGTCTTAGCAGAGCAGAGGGGATCGGGAGGGGCAGCGCCAAGCAGATGAGGGAGGATGAGCAGGGACGGGCACTTCCCCAGAGCTTGGGTGGCTGTGATGTTGGAGGAGCCAGTGGTGGGATCCCCTACTGGGACTGATCTGATCAAACCCCTGGGCCACGACGAGGCCTCTCGGGGCAGCACTTTGTGCGGGCTGGAGAGAGGGTGGTGGGGGCGTTTGGGAGGCCAGAGAGGAGGAGGCAGCGATCGCTCCGGCAGGACATTTGGCCGTGGGGATGGAGAGGAAAGGACGGATTTGGGAGATGCTGAGCATGGAGAAGCAGCAGGATTTGGAAACGGCCCAGATGCATAAGCCACGGGCGAGGGAGGACATGCCTCCGACAGCGCCTGTCTGAGCCAGTCGCGCTGAAGTTGGGCTGGGTCCTCATGCCCCCAGTAGCACCTACCTGAGCTGCTCGGCCTGCGTTTCAGGAGACGCAGCATGTAACCCCTCAGCCCACGTTCCTCTGACAGGGACAGCTCGTTCCCCTGGCTCCGTTCCCCTCAGGATGGGCAGCTGCCTTTCTCCTCTCACTGCCCTGTCTTTCATCTAGGGCCCTCCCCCACCAGCCTCAGCACCGTCACAGCGCTGGAATAGGGTCCGTTAGGGCACTGGAGCTGTGGAACCTGCGTGGGGGGCAGCCTGCAGGCAGGGCCCTGGTGAGCTGCAATGACTCTCTCCCTCCCCTCAGCCTGGCCGTGTCGGTGAAGATGAACGTCCTGCTCTTTGCTCCAGGGCTCCTCTTCCTGCTCCTCTGGCGCTTTGGCCTCCTGGGCACCATCCCCAAGCTCTCCATCTGCGCGCTGCTGCAGGTAACCCGCCCCGTGGGACTGGCCCAGCCCAGGCGAACGCTGGGGCTCTGCACAGCTGGGGCCAGCTGCTTGGCCAGACCGGTCCGTGGGTCTCTGATGCCTCCTGCACAGACGCACCTGACTCTGCCAGGCTGAGCCCAAGAGACCCAGCACCCAGAGACGCGTGGGGGACGGGGCAAATCAGGAAGGTGGATGGGGGGGTAGAGAGGGAGATTGGGGGGAAGACCATCTCCACCCAGAGCCCCCTCACAAACTCGCACTTAGTATTCTCAGCCATTCAGTGTCTCCCCAGGCAGGAGGCCCAAAATCACACAGGACACGCCCGGAGAAAGCTGTGTGAGCTTCTTCCCACAGCTCTGCCGATGCCCCTGCTCCCACCACACCTCTGCCGATGCCCCTCAACCCCGACCCACAGCCCCCTGCTGCTCCCCTGCCGATCAATTCCCGACCCCCAGCACTTAGGGGCTTCCGGCGAGATACCTGGGAGGGTCCTGGCTGGGGAGCTGCTCTCATGGTTCGGGGATCTCACTTGCAGGTGGTCCTGGGGCTGCCCTTCCTGCTGGAGAACCCCGTTGGATACATGACCCGCTCTTTTGACCTGGGCCGCCAGTTCCTTTTCAAGTGGACGGTGAACTGGCGGTTCCTGCCGGAGGAGGTTTTCCAGCATCGGGCCTTCCATCTGGCGCTGCTCGCGGCCCACCTGGGCGCCCTGGGACTCTTTGCCCTGCACCGGTGGCACAGGTGAGATCCCGACAGGGAACGGGGCGCTGGGTACAGAGCAGCGGATCCCTGAGGTTTCCCTGCAGGCCCTACGCCGCAAGGTGATTTGGAGAGGAGGCTGGGGCAGCCCACCCACAGGGATTCCTGCCTGGGGGGAGGAGAACTTTAGTGCATTTTTGGGGTCTCCCCCATTCAGACCTGGGCCCCCGGCTCCGTGAAGCCATTGCTGGGTGTATTGTCTCGGAGGGGCCAGTTCATGGCGGGGGGGTCTGTGGCCTCTGTGCCAAGGCTGGGCCTGAGGGGTCCTGTGCTTCTCCTTCTCCCCTGCAGGTCTGAGCGGAGTCTCCTGTCACTGCTGAAGGATCCAGCAGAGAGGAAGAGTCCGCCCCAGCCCCTGACGGCCAACCATATCCTTACCCTGGAGCTGGCGATGGAGGCTAGGGCAGGGCAGGGAGCGCCTGAAGGCCATGGGCTCGAGGAGGCCTTGATGCGAGCATCTCTGGGTTCTTAGCCGTGCCACGCTGGGTAGACCCAGGCGTCCTGGGGGCCTCCCAGGGGCTGTTTGGGAGCTTCCCCCACACTGGGTTAGGAGCGGGGAAGCAGCCGCTCCCAATGCAGCCTTGTGTCTCTGGGATTTGGTCACATGCCTGGAGCCCCAGCCTGGGGTGGGAGGACAGGCCTTGGAGCCGGACTCCGTTCCCTCCTTAACGGCAGTGCACAGGTCGTCTTCGTTCTCTTCACCTCCAACTTCATCGGCGTTTGCTGCAGCCGGTCCCTGCACTACCAGTTCTACGTGTGGTATTTCCACACGCTCCCCTACCTGCTGTGGTGCACGCCCGCCGGGAAGCTCAGCCACCTGCTGAGGTACGTGCCTGGGAGGGGAGTGGGGCCGACCTCCCTTTGTGCCCCATTGTCCTGCCCCCAGCTCCTGGGCATCCCGCCCGCCCGCTGCTGGTGCTGCACAGGGCAGGCCCTGGCCTTCACTGGTGCCATAAACCGGAGCAAACGAGGGGCTGTGTGGGTTCCTCCCGGGGAATTATCCACATCGCAACTCTGCTTGATTAGTCATCTCTGCTGAGGAAAGGGCCAGGGTCGCAGGGGCTGTGGGTTGGGAGTGAGGGGTATCGGCAGATCCGTGTGACAGGGAACCCCAGGGCTGGGATAGCAGGGGGCTGTGGGTCGGGAGTGAGGGGTATCGGCAGATCTCTGTGACAGGGGAGCCCCTCAGGGCTGGGATAGCAGGGGCTGCGGGTTGGGAGTGAGGGGTATCGGCCGCTCTGTGCGAGGGGGGAGCCCAGGACTGGGCTAGCAGGGGGCTGCGGGTCGGGAGTGAGGGGTATCGGCAGATCTGTGTGACAGGGGAGCCCCTCAGGGCTGGGCTAGCGGGGTGAGGAGCTGAAGGGTGTTCTCTCTCCTGTGGGGGAGGGAGGGAGGCTGACTCCCAGCGCTGACCCAGTTCTCTCCCATTGTAGGGTTCTCATCCTGGGCCTCATTGAGCTCTCGTGGAACACGTACCCCTCCACGCTTTGCAGCTCAGCCTCCCTGCACCTCTGTCACGGGATCATCCTTCTGCAGCTCTGGTACGGCACCACTGCCCCCCTGGAGCCACAGGGCCCTCCCGCTGCCCAGAAAACGACCCCCTCCCTGAAAAAGACAGAGTAAGACCGTGGGCAGCTGGACGCTGGGACCTGCAGCCCCTCCCCCGGGAGCTGGAACTGGAGATTCTGCCTGGGTGGGACGATGCCCCAGGCTGTTCCGCAGGTGCCGCTCAGCTGGTGGCACTGCCTGTCCTACCCAGCGGCCGAGTGGAGCAGGCCCCCCCGGGACACCTGTTCTATGGGATTTCCTCAATAAACGTGGCAACGCCCCCGTGGGCTCTCCTGCCCCCGGCCTGCACTGATCTGTCTGGCTCTTGCTGCTGCTGGGCCGGGGGCACCATTTCACAGGATGGAGCAGCTGCCCTGCTTTTGCGGGGGAGGGGGGTGTAATGGCTAGAGCAGTGGCCTGGGATCCAGGACTCCTGGGTTCCATTCTCAGCCTTGGGCGGGAGTATGGTTAGTGCTGGGTGGCAGAGGGCAGCTCTGGGAGAGAGGCCTCCTGGGGCAAGTCCCAGAGGGGTACCTGCAACGACACCCATTTCAGGGAACAATGTGGCTGGCCCTCGATGTGCTTAAAACTCGGTCAGTCTTAGAGGAGCTAGGACCACACATGGGGATAAGCATCGCCCCCCCGGCCCGTGCTCAGTCCCATTGCCCCTACACCACGGAATCATTCGGGAACCTGGTCCCCTAGCAGCCTGGAGTTGCTTTTACAGAGCACCAGGGCCTTTTGCCTCCGCTGTTTGTTTCCCCACCTTCAGAATGGGGATAAGGGGACTGCCCCACCCGCTGGGGGTGCAGTGTGCTAGGGGCCTGGGCCTACGTGAGCAGAGAGCGAGGGGGGGGGGCATCATATGCCTCCTTTTCTCCCAGCGCTGCCTGCACCTCACTTGCTTCCAAACCCTTCTGCTGCTCATTGGGCTACCCCAGCCCCCCAGCAGGAGGCCGAGTGCGGCTCCTGATCCCAGGAGCAGTGCTGATGGGGGGAGGGAGCTGGCTGCCGGAGCGGGTGGGGCCTGCCCATGTCAGAGGGAAGTGCCCCCCCCGGGGGCAGCTCAGGAGGGGAAGGAGCTGTGGGCACAGCAGGTCTGAACCAAACCTCTTTATTGGCACCACATGGCGCCCTGGCCCTGCCCCTCCCCTCACATGTTGCTGGGGTTGTAGCACAGCATGTTCAGCTTGATGTTCTCGTCCCAGTGGCGCAGCAGCAGAAAGAGGTGACGCGCTGCTCCTTTCAGGGAGCCCACATCCACGCCCTCCGGCAGCTGCTGCGCCCGGAGCCAGGCGTCTGCCTTGGCGGCCAGCAGCTCCCATTCTACAAAGAAGCCGGCGCAGCGGTGCTCCAGCCAGGCCAGTGCCACCGCCGTGGCCCAGCTGGCACTCTCCAGGTCCCCCTCGTCGGCCTCGAGCCCCACCTCCTGCAGGCTGACGGCTTCGGAGGTGACAGGCGAGTGGTCGCAGGCGTCGGTCTCTGAGCCGCGCCCGCTGTCTGCCTGCGGCCAGATGGTGGTGCTTAGGACCTCAGAGCAGGTGCTGTGCGAATGGGGCGAGCCTGGTTCTGGCGCCCCCTCCTGGCTGCCTCTGGCAGGCTCCACGCCCTCTGGAGAGGGCTGGCTGGCCACTTGCTTTGGGCCGCCGTCAGGGCTGCCCTTGGCAACGAGTGCCCAGGGGGAGGTGCAGGAGCCAGGGCTGAGGCTGGCACGGTGCGAGGCATACGGCGAGGCGCGGCGCAGACGGTCCAGCGGGATCTGCACCACTTCGGAGAAGCTTTCTGTCAGCTGGAAGGTGCCCAGGGCCTGCTGCAGCCGCACCTGGGGGGGAGGAGAGGGCGTTACAGCGCGCTGGCTGGGGGGAGTATCTCACATTCACTGCACAGGGCCAGTGTCTGAGACACACTGCATGGTGCCTAGGGTGTAGAGGAGGGGTCCTGCACTCACTCCAGAGCCCCAGGGTGTGTGTGTGTGGGGTGGGGGGTCTCCTGGCTGCAGTAGGGCAGTCTGAGAGGCAGTGCTTGTGAACCAGGCAGCCCTTTTGCTGACGCTGGCACTGTGTCAGCCATCCTGTCAAAAGCAGCAGTGTTGAGGAAGCCCAACGCTGGGCCCAGGCTCTTTATGTACGAACATAAGAATGGCCAGGCTGGGTCAGACCAATGGTCCGTCCAGCCCAGTGTCCTGTGACAGGTGCTTCAGAGGGAATGAACAGAACAGGCATCATTGAGTCATTCCCTCCCAGCTTCAGGCAAACAGAGGCTAGGGCCACCCAGAGCATCGCTGCCCATCCTGGCTAATAGCCATTGATGGACCCATCCTCTGTGAACTTATCAAGTTCCTTTTTTAATCCCATTATAGTTTTGGCCTCCACAACATCCCTGGCAACAAGTTCCACAGGCTGACTGTGCGTTGGAAGAAATACTTCCTTTGCTTGTTTTAAACCTGCTGCCTGTTAATTTCATTGGGTATCCCCTGGTTCTTGTGTTATGTGAAGAAGTAAATAACGGGGGTAGGTTCGAACTTCCCCGGGTCACTGGCTAAAGTGACCCCGCTCAGTTCGGTCTCGAAGGGGGGAGAGATGCGACGAACTGGGACTGTAAATAACACTTCGTTATTCACTGTCTCCACACCAGTCATGATTTTATAGACCTCAGTCGTATCCCCTCTTAGTCGTCTCTTTTCCAAGCTGAGAAGTCCCAGTCATTTTAATCTCTCCTCCTATGGAAGCTGTTCTGAACCCTTAATCATTTTTGTTGCCCTTCTCTGTACCTTTTCCAATGCTAATATCACTTTGCTGAGATGGGGAGACCAGAGCTGCAAGCAGGATTCCAGGGGTGGGCGCACCATGGATTTATAGAGTGGCATTGTGATATTTTCAGTTTTATTCTCTCTCCTTTGCCTAATGGTTCCTACCACCGGTAGCTTTTTGGACTGCCGCTGCACATTGAGCCAATGTTTTCAGAGCACTGACAATGCTCCGAGTTCTCTTTCGCGAGTGGTAACAGCTAACATAGGTCTGTCCCCGTCACACGGACACTCTGGGTCTGAGCTGGGGTGGAGCAGGTAGGGAAGGCTGTGGCAGCAGTAGTTTCCCCTATACAGCGGTGAGGCCTGCCATGGGGCGTGCACACAGTGTTGACTCCATGCTTTGGAGCCTAACCTCTGGCAACAGCACGCAGTGGTGGGGGCAGCTCTGCAGGAGCCCTGGCTCCCATGAGACTGGGGTTGGGATTGGGGTGGATCCTGGCCTTGTCATTACTAGTCTGCTCCATCATGTAGGAGATGCAGGTTTGATTGCAGGTCCGGGGTGGGATGGCTGGGAGTGGAGTACCCTAGGGGAGGAGCTGGGATGGCAGTGCAGGGTCCTTACCAGTGGGAGGTAGTCATGGATGGCACTGTCCTTGGAGAGCTCACTTGCTGGGGTCAGGCACTGTGGCCGCAGCGCTAGGCCGTGGCCCCTGATCCTGCTGAGACTGAACCTGCCAGGAGAAGAGACCAGTGAGCAGCATGGTCTGGATCCTGCTGGCGTTGGGAGAGCTGTGCTCATCAGCTCCTGCTGGGAGGAGGTGGCTGGAGCCTGACATCCCAGGAGAGAGGAGGTCCATTGGGAGGGCTGTGAGCCCCCCACACTGAGTGAACACACACCCAACTCCCCTCCGTGGTGCAGCAGCCCTGGCGAGGAGCAGTTCCTCTCCAGTTCCTTCCTGCCGAAGAGACGAGGTGACCAAGCTGCAGGGCGACGCTGGCCTCTCTCCAGGAGGCTGCTGGGCCCCAGGCCAATGCGCGCTGCAGTGCAGGGTGGGCTGGCAGCAGCATGGGGAGAGATTAACCCCTGCTGTGCTGCAGGGTCAGGGCTCAAGCATTGGAGGTTTTGTGGGAGGGACCCTCAGTGAAGAAGTGGTGGGGTCTCCCCCTGACAGACTGGGGCCTTTCCTGCTGAATGCAGGGTCCCCTCTGCATGGAAGGGGCCCTCATCTAGCCCCCCACCCCAGAGAGTCAGTCTAAAAAGCCTACCTGGAGCCAGCAAAGTTCTCCATGGATTTCTGGGATCCCATGGAGGTGGCAGAGGGACTGGCCACAGGACCTGGCATGGGGAGAGAAGGTCACTCCATAGGGCTGCACTCCCCTGGGCTCCCCTACTTTCTCCATCCCCACCACAATTGCCTGCTACCACGGCACAGCTCCACAGAGGCCCCCAACGCGTCCCGTCCTGTGGGGGAAGAGCTCAGCCACGCTAGGAGGTAACCGGGCAGGTGGAGGGCCCCCATCCACAAGGCCTCAGCAGGCTGGTGCCTCTCCCCAGCCTATGCCCCACCTGAACATTACTCCATCCCCTGCCAAGTGCAATACGGGGCAGGATGGGAAGTTTTTGTCCCCAGCAAGGGCTGCTTTCCCAAACCCAGCGCTCCCCCAGGGTACTGCAGGCAGGTCAGGAGTGTGGAGAGGTTATGGCTCCCGCCCAAGGTTCTCCTACGTTCCTGGAAATGGGAGCCACCCTCTCATCAGACCCTTTATCTCCACAAGAGAGCCAGCATCTGTGCACTGGCTGGAGCAGCAAGGTTGGAGAGCAGCCCGTTCCGGCCAGTCCCAGGACAACAGACGAGGGCAGCAGGCAGTCTGATAAAGTAACCACACAGGTTAGGGGAGGGGGCTCGGCCCCCTCACGAGAGGTTACACCCCAACAAGGGACTGAGGGTTGGACAGTACACATCCAAATGGGCTGTGAGATGATTCACGCGAAGGCTCCAACCTCCTGGGGGCTTGGCAGCAGCCGTGGGCCCCATCTCTCTCTCTAAGGTTTTCCTATAGGGCGGAGCAGCGCAGTGTCTAACCCTCAAAGAGCCTGCTTTCCCAGATCCCCCAACAGCTCTGGGCTGTGCATGGGACTTACCATCGGGGCAGCTTTGCTTTTCCCAGACACCGGCAGCAGAGGAGACGCTGATGGGAGAAGCGGGTGTCTCGTCTCGCTCTGAAACAGAATCAAGAATTCAGAGACTACGCTGGGTGCTGGGACCCTCCAACTCCCCCCTGCAGCCCGCTGAGGACATGAACCCACAACCTCCCTAGTTCACACAGGCTCTAGGGCTCCGGCTTGGTCCCCAGTGCAGCAGCAGTGGCCTGAAGTGCTGTCCCTGTCTCCATCTCCATTTGATCCACAGGCTGCACCCACCCCCAGGATCCCAGCACCTGCACAGGGATGCACTTGGGAGTGCCATCTCTGGGCTTCCAGGGAGCACCTCACCCCAGGGCCCTGTAAGCTGCCCTGGCTCCCAATTCAAGGTGCTGGGTGTGGCCCAGAGAACCCCTGATGCTTTGATCCAGGCTACTCAGACTCTCCTAGTTTCCCATCCTGGGGGGCTGAAATCAGTGCCCCCTTGAGCTGACAGCCCTCTGATGCGAGCCTGCCATTGCCCTAGGAGCCTGGACAAGCCTCACTGGTTTGCGGCAGTTCCTTCCTGAGAGGGCTGGTTCTAGAGAGGCGGTGTTGGGGTTTCAGGGGCGTGGGACAGCGTGCCGGGGGCAGGTTATCAATGCAGGGCTGGGCTGGTACCTGCAGAGATGACAGCATCGTCCAGCTCCTCTGAGTCACGCCGTCGTCCCAGGCCCACTGAGTGACTGCGTTGGCGCCGGATCCCAGCCTGGGACCCTCGGGGATGGCTGGAAGGGCCCCCTGGAAGGAATCACACTCACCATCAGCTGGCAGCTGCACCACAGAGCAGGGCTCAGAGCCTGCAGAGGGTCCCCAGGCCCCCCGGCCACTGCTGCTTTGAGCCCAAGGAGCTCAAGCCCACATCCTCTATGAAGTGCTTCTGAGGATCTGGGCCTCAGTTCCTTTAATGCGTCCTCTCACACTCGGCTTTCCCACTCTCTGGGCAGTTCTTTGGAGTCTAATCTATCTCCGTCCTCGGCATAGCCAGCTGCCTTCCTGAAACATCTCTGCGCCTGGACCCCAGACATGTGCCGACAGGGAGACAAACACAGACAGACCCAGCCACACGGACAGGCCCATGGATGGAGCCGGGCAGCCCCAGACACATGCAGATCCACATGTACATACAGAGTCCCATGGGTCCCTAGAGGTGAGCTGGGGGACCAGGGGGGAGCTCAGTGCCATCCTGGGAGCCGTACCTGCATTGCGAACCTCAAGGGCCCTGGGCAGGGCCTCCTGGGTGGAGGAGTCCACAGGCACCAGGCAGGTGTAGATGGAGGGCGTGTTGCAAGCCTTGCTGGACTGAATGGCCTTCAGGCGGAGCCTCCGGGAGAAACCTGAGAGAGACTCACAGGGTGAGGCTGGGCGGGGAGGGGAGGGCCAATGGGGGGTGGGGGGAGGGCAGGCAGGTAAGCGCATACTCACTGTGCTCCAGCTCAGCTTCCCTCTGGGCCACATTCTCGTGGTCCCGGATGACGGAGCTGGCAGTCAGATGGTGCAGCAGTTTGTCCCAGGCCTTCCATGACTCTTGTGGCAGCTCCTCTTTGCCCTCCCCGTCCCTGGCTTGGAGCAGAGGCTCCAGGGTGGCTGTCACGTCCCAGGAGACGGGCTTCCCAGCACTGAGGGCATGGATCACCACCTGACATCGCAGGGGCAGACAGGCACCCCCCTCACACTCACCGCGCTCAGCCGCGGGCGACGCGCTGAAAAGATACGGGGGCTCCACCAACATGTCCCAGTCCAGATGGGATGGCGAGAGCAAGTTACCTAGGAGACAGCAAGAGTGAAGTCCGGGGGCAGAGTGGGAGACAGCCCCCCAGGGCTTGTACAGTCCCTTGCTCCACCCTGGGGACGGGACTGCCCTGAGTCCCCTGCACCATCCTGAGGGGGCTGCCCTGAGGCCTGAGCTAATTTGGGCTCCAGCCCCCCAGCGCCTCCCTCCTGCTGTAACACCACTCACTGGAATCTGCCAGGCTCCTTCGCAGCCTCTGCAGCTCTGGCCCAATCTCATCCAGCTTCCCTTCCAGGGACTGGTTCCGCTTCTGGGACACCTTCTCCAGGGCCCTGCGCAGCCGATGGGCATCCAGCTCGCCGTGCGGGGACGAAAAGCTGCGTCCAGATAAGGCAGCTCGTGCCAGCGCCTTCTTCCGCCGCGCCAGCTCCTCGGAGCTCAGTGCCACGCACGCCTGAGCAGGAGAGATTCAGGGGTCAGTCTGGGGAGTTGGGACCCTGCTTTGGGCAGGCTTGCAGATGAGACCCCCTGGGGCCACTGCAGGGGATCAGCTGGCTCATCTCTCTACACAGGCCGAGCGCTGAGCCCACCCATCTCTCTGCAAGGACTCAAGACCTGACAGGTAAAGTGCTGGCTGGTGGGAAAGCTGCCCCCAAGGCTGGGGCAGTTGCAGTCCCAGCCAAACCAATGGAGCTCAGAGAGGGCTTTGAGGCAGCCCAGTAGCTGGCATAGTCTGAAGTGGTACCTCCCTCCCGCGGGTTCCCTGGAGTCGGACATGCTCTGGCTGCTGGCAATGGTGGTGTCACAGCAGTGTCCAGGTTGGAGCTAGACCCTGTGTGCAAACTGAGCCTCAACCCACAATTGTAACACAAGATTTTCAGGGCAGGTGCCCGTAACTAGTTTTAGAGCTGCAGGCCAAATATTCATTTCAACCTGGCTGTGATCTGCCCCTCTCTTTATCAGCCCTTTGAGCAGAATATAAATACATCTATCAATGAGAAAGATTGATCATTCCCTGTTATTTTGGGGGTGGTAGCTAAGCAAAGACTGCTGCATTCCCAAGTTATTAGATAAAGCTGATGAGGAATTGTTGGTTTATTTGATATTAATCTGATGAGATTAATTTGATGATTTGATACTAACCCCTTTTATTGTAGTGTGATTTGGTTAACATTAAACCACAAGTATATTTCCAGTGAGGGTTTTTTTGTTGTTGTTAGTTTAGTTACTAAATAATATAAAACTCTGAGAACCAGACACTTTTCTCCCAGATGTCAGAGCCCAGAACCGTAGGACACTGGGGCAGAAGCCAGAGATGACTCAATAAGCCACCTAGTGGTGATCCATATGACCTGCCTCCTGTAGTCCTCACACTCGGGCTTCCCTGGATGGGCCCTTTTAGAAAGAAATATTAAATCTGTTGTATGGATTGAGATGTTGATTCCCTTTAAAATCTTGGGTTTTGTAAAGTTCTGTCTTTGCTCCAGAGAGCTGGTGGCCAGAAAAGCAGAAACAAGGTTTTTGGGGAAAAACAGAAGTGACAGCCAAGGACTGTTGTGAAACTCTGCTTGCTCAGCAGAGCGGAACTACCCCTGTGCAGTTAGCAGGGAGCGTTTATGTAAGCTGGAGATAGTGTTTAATATTCACATTGGCTGGGCTGTAGGGGGATGGCTCTGAAAGATGGATTATATTTTCTTTCCTATTCTGCTTTTGAATGATCTAGAGGATTTAGTGGACAAGCCCCTCGTGTAACTGGCAGATCAGTATTTTAAGGGCCCATAGATTTGGTTTGTTTCAGAGTCACCTTCTCAAATTAAAATAGATTTGAATAGTGTTGTAATTTAAATCTGTCACGTACATATTTCTCGTTTCATCTCAGAAAAGCAATCACGGAGAGTCACCGAGAGAGTCTGTCTCAAGGAGAAGATGTTGCTATCTTGCCTTTATCAGGAAGAGGTCGTCATCCCGTGGATTCAACAAAAAATTGCTTAAAGTCCACTTTGAGATGCTGGAGACTGTAGCCCAGTGTTTTGACCCTTTCTCCAAAATAAACCAAAGCACAACACACACATCCAACACATGAACCAAAATGGATGCCTTAAATTTGACCCTAATGGTTTGTTTATTTGTATTAGCTGTCTTTGAATCATGAATGGGCCTGTATGTCATGGAAGGTGTGAGGATGTAGTTGTGTTTCACAGAAGAAATTAACTAGACGGATTTAATTTGACAAAGCAGGAGATCTGGGGATCTGCTTAGACTCTGAAAGCCAGAGCTCAAGTTGGGACTGAGAGGATGACAGTGGTGACAGTTAAAGGCAAAGAATTATAAACTATGGGTGATGCACAGGTAGGCTTTCCCATGGCTTGTGCATTTAAGATAATGTTTTGCAAGACCAGCCCTAGAGCCCCGTCTGAGATAACAGGTACCTTTTGCACTGCTCTGGGCCGACACAGCTCTCAAGCAGTATCATCTTGAGATGACACCTGCCACATTAAAGCATGGAATGTGATACAGAGGTCAGCAGCCATCAGCCAAACTGAGGCAGTGACACCCATCAACATTCAGTGCTAGGTCCCACAGCTGGCAGGAGACAGTTGATTTGGGGAAGTAGCCATTTGTGTTGAGGACAGGAGAGATTCACTTGGGATGGAGACAGATAATGCGCTGTAATTCTGGGGCTGAAGGCTAAACAAAGACTGCTCACTTCCTCAATGATTAGATCAAGCTGATGAGAAACTGGTGGTGTATTTGGTATTCCTTAATTTGATAAGAAGATTAAATAGATGGTACGAGATTAGCCCACTTTATTTTAATTTTGTTTGTTTCATGTTAAATTAAGACTAATTTTTAAGTGATTTTAATTGTATTGGGGGTTTTAATTAATTAATTACATTTTAAATTCCATTTGACTGGGAAATTGTGCCCATCGGATGTTCTTTTTCCAGATGTCAGGGCCTAGAACTGCAAGAACGCAGGGGGCAGATAACAGACATAGCTCAATACATGATCTAGCCGTGGTCTATAGAACCTATCCCGACAGTCGTCACACCACACTCATGTTACGTGTTACTCTGCTGTCTGGCAAGCGGGCCGACTGGGGAGTACCACTGCCCTGTATCCATCTCTGGCTAACCCTATAACTCACCTGTGCCATTCACCAATCAGCAAATCGCTCCTCCAGCCCCATTGCCTCCCCGCTGGGCAGCACTAATATGACCAATGCATTCAAAGCTGCCCAGTCCCTACCGTGAATGAAATGCCATTGCAGGGCACTAACCAGCCCAGCCCTTCTAGGGGATCCATCCAAGACCTGCCTGAACTCCAGGGAACACAGGGTCCAACATGGAGGAACCTGGGAGACTGCCTCGGTCACCACGATAGAGGATTTTGTCTCCGGTGGGGACAGAGCAGGAGATTTAGAAGAAATTCACACCCATTTGTGTGCGGGGGCAGGTACATGAGACAAGAGGAGATGACCAACCCCAGCCTTCTCTACTTATGGCAGTCCCAGCCGTGGCCATCCAGGGGCTCGGCCACACCTCACCTTGGTGCCAGCAGTCAGCCCGGCCTGCGGGAATGGAGCAGACTTGGTGGAGGAGTCGCACACAGAAACGCTCTTCTGTCCCTGCTGAGAGTTGGATTCAAGGGTGCAGGCCAGCGAGCCACTCTCAGGAGCTATGTCCCTGGAGCCAGTGGACTCGCTGCTGGTGGAGCCGTGGGAGAGCAGGCCCTGGCTCCGGTCGGTGCTGATGGAGCAGTGAGTGAGGACATACTGCTCCTGGATGTAGGAGGCCTGGTAAATCCTCTTCCAGATGTCAGAAACAGGATCCACACCTGCCAAGGAGAGACACAAGCAGCAACCCTGTTCTACTGGGGAAAGAGACTCTCCCCGTCACGACCACCCCCTTTACAGCCCTCTGACCCTGCCTGATCCTTTGGTCAGCTGTCTCCAGACAAGAGGGGTGGGTGCTGCAAAGCCTGGAGGGTTATGTACCCAGCATTAACATCCCTGCAGTAAGAGACCAGACAGGCCAGGCGTCAGCATCCTGCCTCTGCAGCTCCTCTGTGGATGAATGTCCATCTCATTGGCCAACCTCCCCAGGCACAGCCAGCCCCACTCCCTCACTAAGTGCTCACTCGCTGCTCCACTCACTCTTCTCAGACTCCTCGACGCCCCCAGCGGAAAACTCCAGGGAAATCTCACGGGAAATCTCCTGCAGGGCTTGACTGATGTCCTGGCTCTCGCCAGCTGGGTACGGGTGAGCCACGTCCGGGCTACATGCCTCATCCTGGGACTGGAATGCTGACCCCACAGAGCCCCGCGAAAGGCTTCTACACACCCGTTCTCTACCCTGGCAAAACAAGAGGACAAGGTAGTTGCCACAGCCACAGAGAGGCCCTCCTGTTGGCATCAGATCGTGGGAGGGGAAGAAATACACCAGCATGTGAGTTTCTGCACCACAGGGCCCAGCCATCCGGGGCTCCAGCAGCAACCTTCCTCACCACAGCGCCTGACGCTTTGCAGCTATTGTCCAATCCCCAGTGGTGAGCACGGCCTGGTGGAAAAGCCTCACGCCCACTACACAGAGGGTTCTTACTGTCTTCTTGTCCCGGAAGCTGGCGATGTTGTAGAGGGTGCAATAGCTGATGAGCCGGTCTCCTGGATACAAGGCTGCGATTTCATTGGGTGACAGCAGAGCCTCCATGGTGTCGGGCACATACCAGTCTATGGTGATGTCACTCACGGCAGGCTCAATTGCCTTCTTCAGAGACTTTATCAGCTGAGGAGGGGGCAGAAACCAGACCCATCAGCCCTCAGAGGCTCACAGCCTCCCCACCTATATGTTCCACTGCCACATGCACTCCGGGGGCTCCAGCCCTTTGAATTACCAACCAGCTGTTGGCCTGAGAAGCAGATGACTGACACCGAACACTGAGCCACCCAGAGCTCAGAGCACAGACTGGGCCTCCCAGACACTGCGAGTGGCTCTGGGTCACAAGATGGCACAGAAACACTGACAGCAGGAACCAAGCTGGAGAAGGGGATGAGGGTAGATCTGGGGCTACAGGGGCCCTGTTAAATGCTGGTGGCCAATGCCTTGCTGAACACTGGCACAGAGCTGGCTCGGTGGGTCCTAGGGGAGTGAGTCCACAAGCAAAGCCTGATCTGGGCACTAAAACATCTTTCAAAGTCATTCGGGGATGGGGAACCTTAATTCTTCTCTCCCTACACTTACCCTCTCAGAGCTCCCATTGCACTGAGTTCCCTCCCACCGACGGGAGATTGATGCAGCTCTCTTCAGAGCCCAGGATACCACTCTGAGCTCCAGCCTAGGTCCTGGGGGCCGCAAGAGCAGACACAAGGCCCTTCACCCCCAGGGATTAAGTGACAAAGAGCGGGGGAATGGTGGAAGGGACAGGTGGGACTCAGGAGAGCTGGGTTTGATTTTTGGCTCTGCCACTCATTCTGCGTGATTTTGGGCAAGTCACCCAGGCCCAGATCCTCAAATCCTCGGAGCCTTGATTTCAATGGAAGCTAGGAGCCTAAAACACCTTTGAGGATCTGGGCCCTAATCTCTCTCCCATCCATATCACGAGTATACCACTACTTCCTTTGTCTGTTCAGGTTGTAAACCGTTTGGGGCAGGGACCATCTCTCAGTGTGAGTTTGCAGTTTATTAACATAGCAACTTGGTGTCACAGTGTGTGGGGGGACACAAGGCCCTGCACCCCCGGCTTCCTGCGATTCACCATGACTCTCAGTCAGCCAGTAAAGCAGAAGGTTTATTTAGACGACAGGAACACAGTCCAAGACAGGTCTTGCAGGCACAGACAACAGGATTCCTCCCCCCCCAGATAGGTCCATCTTGGGGTCCCAGGGCGCCCCAGCCCCCTTGGGAGGTCAGAGCCCCATCTGCCTCCCAGCCATATCACCAGCCAGCTCCTGAAACTCTCCCTTCAGCGACCCCTCCCACAGCCTTTGTTCAGTTTCCCGGGCAAAGGTGTCACCTGGCCTCTAACCCCTTCCTGGGTTCTCACATTACATGCTCAGGTATTTTCCCTTGGTCAGTCTCCCATCCCCCAACGCAGACCATCCTAGCCACACTCCCCTGTCAGCATTCAAAGACCACAGTAAGAACAGTCCCAGTTCGTCACCCTTGGCCACTGGCCATTGCACATCACTATGTGTCTGAGCAGTGCCCAGCACAACGGAACCCATCACAGCCAGGGCCATGTAGATGGGCATTCCCAGCAGCCATGCCGCCTAGATCAAAGTGGTGCGCTCTGTGTTGGAGACCCATGGTCCCTGCCATGAGCCACACAGCACACGCCACAAGCTGTGTGACATGCCAAGTCCCCTGGTCTGACTGCAGGCTGCACCTGTGGGTGCCCTCTGTAGGCTGCCCCTCTGTAACAGAAAGAGGGCAGCTGAAGTCAGTGTCGTTTATGCCCATTAGGTATGGTGGGTGAGCTTTAGACATCCTTGGTTAATAGAGACCTCAGTGCTCTCACCCCCACAACTGAGTCCAAAATACCGGTGCAGATGGAGGACACTTACCTTGGGCTGCAGCCTCTCCTCAGGGCTCAGGAACTCAGCCCGACCTTTGCTCATCTTGGCCAGGCCTCTCAGGAGCCTCCGGCAGGCTCCGGAGCCCAGGCCAAAGCTGAAACACCTGCAGGAATAAGCCGAACTGCTTAAAAGCAACCCTGGGGCCTACTCTGAGACCCACTGGCCTAGACAGGGATGGCTCCAGCCTGAAAGGAGGAGGCACTGAGCCACCCCACTCGGGCTGGGATATTTGTAGGTTTTCTGGGACCAGGTCTGCACAGGGGTATTTGGCAGAGAAGGCTCCGAGACCCCTCTCTTGGGGTTGAGGTTAGAGCTGGTCGGAAATGTTCCATTGAAAAGTTTTTTGATGAAAAATGCCACTGTTGTCAAAATGAAAACATTTAGAAATACGGTGTTTGCAGTGCTGGCATAGCTGTCTTGGTTCCGGGATGAGAGGATAAGGCAGGGGAGGTAATACCTTTGTAGAAACATGTCAATTTAAAACAAAAACTCAAAACAAAGAACATTTTGAATTTTCATTTTGAAAAATCAAAATTTGGGGGCTTTTCTTTTTAATTTTTAATATGTATATTGGTATTATTCTTTATATTATTTCGTGACATGTCCGTAGCAATAATGCACAATAGGCACCGCTGCTATAGACCTGCAATACTACGACATAATATAATAGTTACAATATTTTATTATTGTTTTATTTTATGTTAAAATCATTAGAGGGCAGCTGCTACTTAGCACTGATTGAAACATCGCATCTTCTTTTCTAGATCTGAGTCTCCTGTTTGTGTTTTAATTAAACAGGCTGACATGCTGACATTTGAAGTAATGTAAAAATAATAAAAACGACATGAAGATTAATTAATTAAAAATCAAGATAACATTTCAAAATCCCCAAACAAAAATTTTAAATTCTGGAACAAACATTTTCCAGATCCAAAAGCTTTTCCGAAATTCTGTTTCATGAGAAATTCACAAGAACAAAAAACAAATTTCAAAATGTCAAAATGTCCTGTGAAATGGGAAATCTGAGTTTGGACTGCTCTATCTGAGGTGTGTGTGGTGAGGGGCGGGAGTTATTCTCTCAGGAGTGAACTTTGGTATAACCAGGGCCAGGGCCTTCCCTACCGGGGTGCGGGGCCCGCAACAATCCCCCCCCTCTCTGCCCCAGGCCCTGTCCCCACTCCACCTCTTCCCCCAAGCCCCCGCCCTGCCTCTTTCCAGCTTCCGCCCCCTCCCGCGAGCAACACTGGGAGCCAGCGGGGAGGGCTGGGGTCGCTGCTGCCCCCTCTCGCCGGTGAGTGCAGGCCCGACCCCCGCTGCCAGAGCCAGGCCTCTCACTAACCCCACAGGCCAGCCTGGCCCCCCGCACCCTAATCTCACCTCCCCGGGCTGGCCTACTGCCCCCCGCATGACACGCACACAGAGCCGTCCCGGCCACCCCGATTTGCTGTACCCTAGGGACGGCTCTGACCAGGGCTTAAATTCCGGTAAATATTTTCAAACCCATGGGGCTGAAGCTCCAAGCCATAGTGCACCCTGTGGGGCTTCATCCCTGAGCCCCCCTTGCCCCACAGCTGAAGCACAGAACCCTGGGGGGTTTCATAGGGAGCCCTGGGGGGGAGATTGTGAGAGGCCCTGGGTATAACAGTACCAATGCAGGGCCCTCTGCTCCCCTCTGGCACCAGGGGCTGCAGACTAGTTCCCCATCCCCTCAGCCATCCTCCCCGCAGCAGGAAGATTCTTGCCCCATCCCTCCCCTGGGTTTGTTTCCCTCCCCTCCCCACACACACTCACTCCGTACCTGACAGTGCTGGCCTGCCTCCGAATCAGCTCAATGATCTTGCCTGCATTGCTGACGTTGGCATCCGTGAAGATGAACAGCTGGCGCGGGTAACCGCGGTGAAGAGGCTGCCCCAGGATCCAGGTCAGAGCAGCCAGGAGGTTGGTCCCATGCATATCGGCCCGGAGCTTCTGTATGTGCTCACAGGCCAGCCTGAGGTTCTCCTGCTGACACAAACAGTGTGGATTACAGGGGCACCCCAAGCCCACAGAATCACCCCCAAATTCTCACTCCTCTCCCCTCTTGTCTACAATCCCACCACACTACGGTCATGTTGAAGCAAGGAGCCTGATGCCGAGCACCGATCTGTTGGCCAGCGCTGCTCCCACCATGGGATTCTTCCCTCCTTCATGCTGCCCCACCATGGGAGCAGCTAACTTTCAATCACAGGAGCCAGAGAAAAAGACTTAGGTGTTTAACAAGCTCATGATGAGAGTGCACCAAGCAGCCAGCCATGGCCCATGAAGAGTCAGGGACGTGGACCAGGGGGCCTTGATTATTAGAGGGGCTGGTCATGGGGGGTCAACATGAGGTGGGGAAGTGTAGTGAAGGCTTCAGACCGGGATGAGCGAGGGAGACTGGTTGTGATGGTATCTGGGTCACGAGGGCCAGGAATCCTCACATGCACCACACTCACATTGCTGCAGGGCTTGCTTGCTGGGAAGAGGGGTTTGATGTGGGAGCCGAATCCAGCAATGTTCAGCAAGGTGCCTGAAGGGAGGCTCTTCACTGCCACCAGCAAGGCCTCCTGGGAAGAAATGAAATATAACACATAGGGCAGGTGAGGCCAGTGATGATGGGAAGGGCGGAGAGCGAGGCTGATCAGCTGTAAGGGGGACACACCCTGTCCATGAATATGCACTACTCCCTACCAATGAGATCTACCAGGCTGGAGAACCATCTTCCAGGGGAAGGGCTGAGAGCCCCACTGCTGGGAACGTTCGGAACTGGACTGGACAAAGCCTTGGTGCATGGGCTAGAGAGAACACTCCTGCATTCCCTCTGTGGGTCCGTTCAGTTTCTGACACCTCTCAACAAGCATGGCCTCTGGGACCCCTCCCTCTGTGGCACAAGGCTAGAGCACCTCTCTGTGGAGTCACTTCCCAGCACTCGCACTCACTGGGCAACTGAGCCAAGTCACTTCCCTCCTCTCAGTCTCAGATGCCCCCCTGGCCTTTCTGGGTCAGTTGAATACGGATGCTCCATGCACAAGGGCCAGCGCGGAAGGAGGTGTGGAGACTGTTGGGGGAGAAGCAGACAAACGCGCGGCTGAGGCTGGACTCACTGGGGGGAAGGAGGCCGGAGGCAATGTGACAAGGGGGAGCAGCAGGAAGAAGCTGAGCTGTGAGGGGCCTTGAAAGGGAGGACGAGAAGCTTGGATTTGATGCAGTGGAGAAGGGGAGCCACTGGAAGGCTGTGGGGGTGTGCTGGGCTCAGAGGGTCAGGCAATGACGCTGATCCTAGTCTTTGGAATAGGCTAGAGGGGGACGACGTGGGCGTATTTCTGGTTAGAGCCTACAGGGCATATCCTCAGCTGCTTAAGTGCCCTGCACAGGCTACCTCAGCCACTGAGTTACTGTGGAGCTATGGACTGAGGGAGTCGATCTGCCCCTATATATTTATAGACACATTCGATACAGGCCAAGGATTCCAGGATGTCCCGGACAAGGCGATCACATCCTGTTCCTGTTTCAGTCCCTCTCCCCAGATGGGATAGCTGCATTTTCCCATGATGAATCTCAGTTTATTTGCAGCCCATTTTTCTAATCTCTTTAGGTTTCTTTGTATCATCTTCCTGCCCTCACTGGTGCTTGTATCACCTCTTCAGTTAGTCTCATCTGTGAACTTCATTAACATGCTTTCAGATCATTACATGAAAATTATAATGAGGATTAATTAGCTCATGTTTACACCGCACCTTAAATATGTGAAACACTATGTAAATGCTAAGTACCACTATTAGAGAGACAAGGTGGGGGAGGTAATATCTTTTATTGGACCAACTTCTGTTGGTGAGAGCTCTGTGTAAGCTCAAAAGCTTCTCTCTCTCACCAATTGAAATTGGTCCAATAAAAGTTATTACCTCATCCACCTTGTCTCTCGAATATCCTGGGACCAACGGCTACAACACTGCTGCATACAAGTATCACTATTAACAAGTGAACTCAGACAGGTCCTGACAACAATCCCTACAGTCCCCACTAGAAACCTCCTCACAGCTCTACCCGTTGCCATTTGTCAGGACCCTTTGTTCAGTCCTTCAGTCAGTTTTCAACCCAGGTACCAGTGCTTCTATCCAAGCCAATTAGAATTAATGTTTGTCATAACTATAAAGGGAAGGGTAACCGCTTTCCTGTGTACAATACTATAAAATCCCTCCTGGCCAGAGACACCAAAATCCTTTTACCTGTAAAGGGTTAAGAAGCTCAGGTAACCTGGCTGACACCTGACCCAAAGGACCAATAAGGGGATAAGATACTTTCAAATCTTGGTGGGGGGAAGGCTTTTGTTTGTGCTCTTTGTTTTGGGGGTTGTTCGCTGAGAGGGAGCATCAATCCATGCTCTCCAAATCTTTCTGAACAAGTCTCTCATATTTCAAACTTGTAAGTAACAGCCAGGCAAGGCATGTTAGGTTTATCTTTGTTTTCTCAACGTGTAAATGTTCCTTTTGCTAGAGAGTTTACCTCTGTTTGCTGTAACTTTGAACCTAAGGCTAGAGGGGGTTCCTCTGGGCTCTTTAAATCTGATTACCCTGTAAAGTTATTTTCCATCCTGATTTTACAGAGATTATTTTTACTTTCTTTCTTTAATTAAAAGCCTCCTTTTTAAGGAACCTGATTGATTTTTCCTTGATTTAAGATCCAAGGGGGTTGGATCTGGACTCACCAGGAAATTGGTGGAGAAGTCTCTCAAGGCTACCCAGGGAAGGGTTATATTACTTGGGAGGGAGATATT